CCGAGCGCGTGCCCGTGGGCGAAGGGAGCCACTCGATTCTGTAGGCGCACCGCGCTTTCTACGGTCGCCCATGCCCCCAACACAACCCTAGCTGACTTCCTATGGCGAGGGGCACTCGTGTTGCGGACGTGGCAGCCCGCGCGTGCGTCTGTANTTGGAGCTTTGGAAAAAAATTGGAATCTTTGGAAACGTTTAAAACGGCCCATAAGGTTGCCCGATCCGGGATGCGGAGTGACATACTTGAGAATGCCAAAAACCTAGGGTGGTTCGTCTCGTTGTGGGGAGGTTTGGTGTCATGGCTTTTGGTTTGTTTTATGCGCCGTCGCGTCGGGCCCGATGTCGTCATGTAGTTGTCGATGTCGCACCCACCCCATGATAACTCGTCTTCGCCCCGGTGGAGATCGTGTTCACGAAAAGTACAGCCCCTCCCCCCCCGCCGTTTTTTTGGGTCAGAGTNCGGGCCCGATGTCGTCATGTAGTTATCGGTGTCGCACCCACCCCACGATAACTCGTATTCGCCCCGGTGGAGATCGTGTTCACGAAAAGTAGAGCCCCCCCCCCCTCGCCGTTTATTTTTGGTCAGAGTATGCGTTTTCTTCGAGATTATCCATTGTTGACGGGATATTGATGTTGCTGTCTGGTTCGGTCTCAAGATTCTTCGGTCTTGGGGCATCAGGTCACGCCCGGCATCACTTTGCTGATTCTATGTCCGGAAATGAACCAGNTGTTCACGAAAAGTAGAGCTCCCCCCCCCTCGCCGTTTATTTTTGGTCAGAGTATGCGTTTTCTTCGAGATTATCCATTGTTGACGGGATATTGATGTTGCTGTCTGGTTCGGTCTCAAGATTCTTCGGTCTTGGGGCATCAGGTCACGCCCGGCATCACTTTGCTGATTCTATTTCCGGAACTGAACCAATTTCGGGGCTCCAAGGCTGCGGTAAGCCCCGCACATGTGCGCATAACAGAAAATCGGCAAAAACACGTCACCCAACGTTCGTTAAGCCCGCAATGCTCTCTTGATTACTTTCGTACTTTTGGGGTTATTATTTTGACCGGATTGGACCAAGGATATCGTTTCCCTCTGTATCGCTCGCTCGTTTTCCACTGCGTCTGTTGCATTTTCTCCTCTTCCCGGTTCCCATCATGGCAGTTCCATCGTGGGTAATGTAACAGACAAAACGACTCGCCCGCCTGCCCTTCGGTATTGTGTACAGCACGGAGGTCATCTGAAACCCAACAAGCAACTCCTAGCCGTGTGCACCACTCGGGCGATTACGGCGTATCCTACACACGGCTTGGACCTTACCGTGGACCACCCCCACCTACCCCCTTTCGCCACCTCCGAATGAGTTGCCTCTCACCACCTGTTGAGTTCCCGTCCTCCGCCTACTCTATCTCTACAGCCGGAGGCCGCCATGCGCGGCCTCGGGACCGCCATGTTCTCAAAGGGCCTAGGCCCCGCAAAACACGGCGTTCCCGTAGCGAAGGACGACACCATGAAGACGATGTCCTTCTACGAGGTGTACAGTTGCCCTCGCTCCGCACCTTGGAACCAGGTATTGCCTGCCGCGCTTCTCAGACTTATGGCAGTAGGATTATGAACGAGAGGGTTTTTGAAACCACGGTGCCCCATCTTCTGAATATACAGGGGGGGCTCATAGCCGTGCATGCCGTAGTTGACCTCGCATCCCTACAACGTTTCAACGGATCACGCCCGACTCGCCGGACCAGACTCTTACGTCACCAATGAGGGGTTGTAACTTGATCTCGTGCCCCCCTAACGCCCGAAGCGAAAGGACAAAAGGTCTTACGCTGCACCTGCTGTCGAGCGCATGCAACTATTTCTTGCAATGTATGTGTAGACCGATGAAGACTAATGTTGATGCACGCGACCTCTGTTGGGTTGTGACTGTGTCCTTATCGGAAGCGCTTATCGAGCGGGCCTAGAGTGCAGCAATCCAAAGCGTCATTGCGAAGCTGCATACGATGTGCATCACCATTCCATTAGTATATTGAACCGTTTTGCTCTCCGCCCTTTCGCGCTATTGTACCAATTCTCTGACCCTTAAGCTAGCTCCCGTGGTATTTGGCGCATTTGGTCTAATACCCGCGTGTGCCATCACGTCGTGATAACTGCTGCTGTCCATGTTCGCTCCGCCCCTTTTTGTATCCCTGCGCGTTTCCAGCTCACCAACTCCTAAATTTACTCTGGTGCATCCAACAATCTAGCGTATTTCCCGCTAAGCACCACGACCCCCCCCTCTCCCCCCCCAATGCGGCGACATGGACTGATCGTCTTTTGAAGATTCTGCAGCCGACTATGGAGGTAGCTCTGCAGGAGATGGAGCTGCACGTCTCGAGGGATGTAATCAACGCGAGGAGGCTAACGCCAGGGAATAAAACGTCAAACAAGAGCGACCCCGACAAGTACCGCACCTTCCCCGTGGTCAAAGAATTCCTGGAGAAGGCCTTTGGTGGAAAGCACAAAGGCGGCGACAAGTACCATGTCATCCGCAAAACGTATGTTGCTATTGTTTCGATGAGCTGACTGTAACTCTGTGACACTGGCGTATTCTTCAACCCATCCCTGTCTCCCGCGGCGTTCGTAAGTTTATTTGTCTGGCACAAAAGCGGTCCTGCAAGGTCTGCCCCAAAGTTTTTACCGTTAGTTGCTTTCTCTGTGGCTTGTCTCCCGCTCAAGTGTTCATTATGTCGCCGCAGGTTCAGGGGGCCCTGTAACCGCTCCTAGGCATGAGTCGAGACGCATTTGGTTGACGGGAGGTTTCTGAGTGATGGACCTCCCGCACGTTCATAAACTGGCGGTATAATCGTTTTTTCTTATCTCGGCTTCTGGGGCAAGTTCGTGGAATTCGGTGAGGAATACCTCGGCGACATCCCCGAGCCCGACAGCATTCGAAGTGCGGAGGATGCGAGGCGCTACCTCAAGCCATACCTATTCGAGGCCAAGGGAGAGGGCGGAGGGCCCGAGGGGAACGGGCGCAGAGGGAGGGTCCCAGGAAAAACGGGGGCGGAGGGTCCCAGGAGAACGGGGGCAGAGGGTCCCAGGAAAACGGGAGCGGAAGGTCCCAGGAGAACGGGGACGGAAGCGGGGGTGAAGACTGGGGTGGAGGGACCGAGAAAGACGGAGACGGGGATGGTTCTTCATCTCCGGGCCAGAACAGGGAATGGTAATCGTGACGACGCGGAGTCCGAATCCTCGGTGGAACTCTAAGCCGTGTGGCAAGGTGTGTTTCGGCCTGGTATATGTTTCGAACCCTCTTTAAAACGCGCCCCTTTCCTCCCTCTGCCTGCGATGACGTTGGGTGGTTGCGTGTGTTTTTCCGGACTTTTTGTCTTGCACGCGGTGCCCCTCACACTCTCTCCCCCAGTACAGGGTGCCTGTTCGCCCTCGGGATTTTTTTTTTCCAAGATTACCTAGCCCCCCTTCAGTTCTACAGACTTGCGTAGATCGCTCCGTCGTTTTCCACTACCCGCCTTTGCCTGACACCTGAATCAAATTCGCTTCCGGTCGTTAACCTCCAGGTCCAGTCGCCCGGATCTCCGCTGCTTCGTCGTGCAACGCGTGGCCCGGGTCCTTATTACGTCCACAACTGCACGAAGCGTTGCAGGAGGAGGCAGAGAAACTTTTGACTCCCCTTGAAGTTTCATTTGAATTACACAATGCTGTGATAGGTTTGTCGCTCTCGCTGGCGCGGGATGAGAGTCGTGTATTTCCTTAGCATTTGCGACGGCGTTTGGGATCCGTAGCCTCTGCCTCTTGTCTTCCTCGCCGTTGTTGTTCATTCATGCGAACCCTACCTGCAAGAGGGGGGGTGTACTCAACAGTTGTGCATGCAGGGGTGGGGTGGGGGAGTACTTTTGATGTGGTCCTCCAAGCGTACATACGTCTCTTACCGCAGTCTCCGCAGTACTCCCGTTAGGAATGATGTCTGAATATGTTATTTTGAATCACACAATCCTGTGCTATGTCGCCCTCGCTGGCTCGGGATGCGAGCCACGTGTTTTCTTAACTGCGTCTGCGACGGCGTCTGGGATCTGTGTGGCTTCTGGCTCTTTTCTTCTCGTCCGTTTTCATGGTGTATTCACATGCAGTCGAACCCTAGCAAGGGGGA